ACTACAGGCGCCTACCACAATGCCCAGTTATTTGTTGTTGTTTTCATTGTTGTTTAGCAGACCCTGGGCCAGGTTTGTATCTGCCAACCCCGGTGCATGTGGCTAGTGCCCTAATCACTGAGCTACAGGCACTGAGCCTACTTTTCATTTTTAAGTATGTTCCTAATTGTTTGCTGAGGCATTTTTATGATGGCTGCTGTAAAATCTTTGTCAGATAATCTTAACATCTCTGTGAGATGTTAGCACTGTTAGCATTATCTTTTTTTTTTCATTCAATTTAAGATCTTCCTGGTTCTAGGTATGATAAGTAATTTTCTATTGAAGTCTGGGCATTCTGGATACTGTGTTATGACTCTCTAGATCTGCCACAGGTGACAGAGTAAGACTCTGTCTCAAAAAAAAAAAGGAAAAAGAAAAATAGTTTTAGCAAACAAATAGAAAGTTTCAGCAGAAGAAATAAAAGATGAAAAGAACCAAATTCGGTGGATGGTCTTAACAGCAGAATGGAGGAGATAGAGAAAAAAAATGGTGAACTGGATGATAGAACAATAGAAACTACCAAGTATGACCTCCAGAGGGGAAAAAATAGACCAGAAGAAACAAATGAGCAATGTCTCAGGAACCTTTGGGACTACATGACAAAAACTGTCATGTGTGTCATAAATCCTGTGACGTGAGGAGAAAGAGGTGGCTGTAAAAAAACTGGAAACTTTCCAAATATGGCAAAGGACATAAATATGCAGATTTGAGAGGTTAAGCCAACCACAAACAGAATAAACCCATTCAAATCAACAAGATATATATAGTTGACTCTATATAGTCAAATCTCTGAGACTGAAAGACAAAGGAACATCTTCAAAGCAGTAAGAAACAACACCCCACCTATAGAGGAAAACTAATAGCAGCAGATTTCTCATCAGAAACCACGGAGTCCAGAGGAAATGACAGAAGATTTTTCAAGAGCTGAAACTAAAGAACGTCAGCCCAAAATCCTGTCAAGGAAAATTGAGTTTCTGCATTTTGCTTGATTTTGTACAATGACAGCATTAGTAGACTATAATAAATCTGCTAGTCAAAAAGTTATGCAAGAAATACATTTTTTTTTAAAAAATCAATTTTTTGGGCGGCGCCTATGGCTCAAGGGGTAGGGCACTGGTACCATATACCAGAAGTGGTGGGTTCAAACCCAGCCCCTGCCAAAAACTGCAAAAAAAAAAATCAATTTTTCAAACTCTAAAAAATTGTTCAGTTAACCCACAGGAAGCAGGAAAAAGAAAATGAAAAACAGAAGACAAAGTAAAATGGCGGGTTTAAGCCCTCATACATCAATAATTGCATATATGAATAAGCCAGTCAAATATACGATTGGCAGAATTAAAAACCATGACTTGTCTATATAATGTCTACAGAAAATTCACTTCAAATATAACAGTTGTGTTGAAAATAAGATGGGAAAAGATAGATCATATAAGCATTAATCAAAAGAAAGCAGGAGTGGCTATATTAATATAAGATAAAGTAGACTTAAGAGCAAAATTTTATCAGAGATACATGGAACATTGCATAATGATAAAAGAGTCAGTCCACTGAAAATATGTAACAGTCCTAAATGTGTATGTATCAGATACAGAACTATGAGGTAATGTAAAGCAAAAACTGATGACACTGAGAGACAAAATAGAAAAATCCATAATTATGGATGGAGACTTCAGCGTCCCTTAGGTGCCCACAGAATATATATCAAGATAAACCACAGTCTGAACCACAAAGAAAACCTCAGTAGATCTAAAAGATTGAATTCATAGACTATCATCCAATCAGTAGAATTAATGTAGAAAGCAATGACAATTAACTTAAAATCTACAGACACTTGGAAACTGGACAGTATACTTCTGATCTCAAAGAGGAAATTTCAGGAGAAATACAAAAATACATTAGACTAAATGAATATACAGCATATCAAGTTGTGAAAAACAGGTGAAACTGTTGCAAGAGGGAGATTTATGGCATTAAATGTACATAGCAGAAAAGAGGAAGTCTCAAGTTAATAATTTTAACTCCTATCTTAAGAATCCAAAGCAAAATAAACCACAAAAAGAAAAGTAAACTGTGAAAGCAAATAAAAGAAAGGAAATAATTAAAGAAGAAATCAGTGAAATTGGAAACAGAAATCAGTGAAACAAAGAGCTGGATTTTTTTTTTAAATATCAGTAAAATTGGCAAACCTTTAGCAAGACTGACAAAGAGAAGGTACAGGTTACTGATATCACTGATAAAACAAGATGGCAATACAGAACTTGCAGACATAAAAGTTCTACTCACATAAATATGGCACTTTACATGAAATAGATCAGTTTCTCAAAAAACACAAATTACCACAACTGAAACAGTTGTCCTTGAATAGCCCTATAAACAGTTGAGGAAGTGGAATTCATAATTTTAAAATTCCTCAAAAATGAAACCTCTAGGTTTAGATGCTTTCACTAGAGAATTCTACCAAATGTTTGTTTTAGAGATAGTGTCTCACTCGGTCACCAAAGGTAGAATACAGTCACTTGATTATATAGTTCACTGCAGTCTCTCTGGGCTTAAGTCATCTTTTTGTTTCAGTCCCCTGAGTAGCTGACACTACAGGCACATGCCTCCACACCTGACTAATTTTTTTGTAGAGATGGAATCTCACTATTGCCTAGGCTGATCTCAAACTCTTGGCTTCAAATGATCCTCCTACCTCAGCTTCCCAAAGTGCTGGTATTACAGGTGTGATCCACCACTCCTGACCTATCAGACATTTAAAAGGAGTAAACACCAATTCTAGACTTTCTTTTCTAGAAAATAGAAGAGATACAACTATTTATTTTATGAAACTGCCATGAAAACCAACATGCAAACTGATAGTTTTTATGGATATGTAAGCAAAACTCCCAGCACAATACCAGCAAATAGAATTTTTTAAATGTACAAAATCATATATACATGTACATGTATAGAATATGTACATTATTACCAAATTGAGATTATTCCAGGAATGCAAGGCTTGTTTGGTATTCAAAAACCAGTTAGTATGATCCACCATTTTAATAGGGTAAGGAAGAAAAACCACATGATTATAGAAGTCAATGCACAAAAAGCATTTAATAAAACTCAACGTATATATACTTGTAGAATAATAGGAATTAAAGAAGGATTTTCTCAAATTATTAAAGAGCATGCATAAAAACAATCCCATAGCTAATGTTATTCTTAAAGGCAAAAGGCTAAATGCTTCATCCCTTA